GGATGAGAACAACTTTTGGGAAAGCAAGGTTATGTGAAATTCAATGGAAACGTCAGCTCAACTCATTTCATTGTGGGAAAATTCTACCATCAGTCCTTCGTCACCTTAGACGAAATAGGGTGAATACATCTCATTACACAGGTCTAGCATGCCTTGAAAGTCGTCTTTCCTGCGACCCACTCTCACCCGTGTATGTGTGGCGTAGTTGCAACATTTTGTGAATAAACACAGCGCTCCCTGAGTTCGACTACCGTTTAGGGTCGAAACTTCAGTCTAGCCTGGATAGGCAAGATTAAGGGAAATTCAATGGTATCGAGAGGCCAGCCATTCTCGTTAAGAGAATAGACTATTTATTATTAATACTTAAATTACCTAAACGATCTTGGGTGATTAAGTTATTCAAGAATTACTAATAGTCTCGATACCAAATTATTTCTAAAATTAAGATAGGCGCTCTGGAATTCATGGAAGTTAGGATTTGGGAAGGCAATTTGCATTTAGATGAATCGCTTGGTATATAATTGTTAAGCTCACTTCCATTATAAGTGAAAGTTTATGGTGAATAGACTCGAAGATCGATCCCACAGAAGACGACGACGGATTCCTCTTGACCAACTGCCGACTGGCTTTACTGGAATTTTCTCGTTGACGCTATTTCCTAGGCGCCATTCGATTCCGGTGAAAACGTGAAAAGCTTTCTTCCTTCATATGACGGACGGCATCAGAGCAGAATATCATTCTTACAAGCATATTCAATCGAAAGAGACAATAATGTTACAGTAAAATCAATTGACAGCTGGCCAATAGGAATCCGCTGCCGTCTTCTGGTGAGATTGACCTTCGAGACACTTTCACTCGTAATGGAAGTGAGCTCAACAAGCTAGGCCTCGTCTAAGTGTCGACTGGAGTTAGTCTGAAGCTCCTTGCTGGAATATCCGGTTTCGCTGGGATGTGAAGCTCCACAAGAGTACATCACTTGAACTAGACAGGGCCAAGTGCCTGCTTTTCTCCAAATATGAAATGCTTCCGTTGTGACGGAAAGGCGGCTGCGTTTAAATAGGGAGGTGAGGTGTGGAAAAGACGAAAATCCGAGCCAAATACAGCCGTCAGGAGGGGGTCACATCCCACACTTGCTGTGTCGTGTGTGAGGATCACTTTCAAGTACAGATAAGATTTGAAACGTAATGGCCCACTCAAAAACTGTATGATCACGAAGAGCAGCGTCGATATGAGTAAGATTATAAAGGAGTGGCCGTACAAATGAGTCACCACAACTTTGAAGCAAGGGCAATATTTGAAAACTAGTTTCGGCTCAAAGGCTAGCTGGGCACAAGAAAGAGGATCGATACGAGCAAAGCAGAATGAAGGTTGGCGAAAAAATGACTGATAGTGCAAATGAGTCACCACAACTGCGGAGTAGAGGTCGTATTGCAAATGGCCGTTACAGCTCAAACACCATCTGGGCACGAGAAGGAGAGACATGCACGTTGGTGACACACGGTTATATTTTTTCGTGAGTAGATTTTCGAGACCACCAATTAATCAGATATATGAGTTGTTTTCACCCTATTTCATTTAAGATGATGAAGGACTGGTAGTTCAATTTTCACACAATTATAAGAGTAGAGTTGACGTTTCCATTGAATCTCACATAGCCTTGCTCTCCAAAAAGTTGTCTTCATCCAGGGTGGACTGCCGTTTCGACCTCGCCTAGGTCCTATCAACAGCCGAAGCGGGAGTCGAACCGTGACAGTGCACGATGTAAGCTCGACGTGTTAACCACTAGGCTAGATTGCCACGGGTATAACCGTGGTCAGAGGGCACATTTGAATTTCAAGGAATGTCAGGCATTTTCTATATCACATTCTGTGTTGGGATTGTCGATGAAGCAAACTTATTTTTGCTATAGCAATCGACGACATCAATTTTTTTCGTGAGTAAGTGGGTTTTAAAGATTATCAGGAAGTCTCGAAAACCTACTCATTCACGAAAAGAGTAATGTCGTCGATTGCTATAGAAAATATAAGTTTGATTTATCGGCAATCCTAGCACAGAATGTGATATGGGAAAAGCCTGAGATTCCTTGAAATTCACATCTGTCCTGTGATCCAATTGCACTCGTGGCAATGTGGCGTAGTGGTTAACGTGTCAAGCTCACATGCTGCACTGTCACGGTTCGACTCCCACTGGGGATGTTGATAAGACCTATGTGAGGTCGGAACTGCAATCCAACTTGGATGAGAGCACCTCTTGGGAGAACATGGCTATGTGAATTTATTTTCGTATTAGAGTAGAGTTTCGAGGCTACCAGGAAATCAGTCATATGAGATGTCTTCACCCTATTTCGTTTAAGGTGATGAAGGGCTGATAGTTGAATTTTCCCACAATGTTATATGGCAATGTGGCTGAGTGGTTAGCATGCCAAGCTCCAATCCTGCACTGTCGCGGTTCGACTCTCGCTGAGGGTGTTGATAAGACAGATGCGAGGTCGAAACTGCGGTCCACTGTTGTCTGGATGAGAACAACTTTTGGAAAAGCAAGACTATGTGAAATTCAATGGAAACGTCAGCTCAACTCATATCATTGTAGAAAAATTCTACTACCAGTCCTTCATCACCTTAGACGAAAAAGGGTGAATACATCTCATATGCATGGGAATTTAAGTGGAAAATATCAGCTCTACACATATCCTTGTGAGAAAATTCAATTACCAGACCTTCATCACCTTAAACGACATAGGGTGAAAACAACTAATTCACAGAGTTATTGTCGAGGTATACCCATTTCGACTTGTAGATACAAAGAGAAACTTGGTTTCGATGAATCTCCTGAGATAACATTGTTAGGGGGACTTTCATTTCGAATGAAAGTACATGATAAAGATATTCGTTTGTAGATCTCACCAGATGAGGACGGATGAAAAACGTTGTACTGCAGCCGTTTAGCAGCCGTTGACGCAGTCCACGAGTATTCCTCG